AGAAGGGGGTTACATGGCTAGTACCCTCTCATGCAGAGACTCCCAGGTGACTGAAGTCCCTCCGCAGTCTCCATACTGCCAGGCCTCTGCTCACATACCCCTGGGGATGGGGAGCTCACCACCCCTCAGTGGCTCAGGAAACCTCCAGGTGGGAGTTGGCTGCAGTTCCCAGAGTCCAGGCATCTCCCATCCCGGCTGCTCTCCTGCAGACGGTCAGGCCCTGCCGGGATGGGGAAGGGGAAGGTTGCGAGTCAGGGCACCCGGGGGCAGCGCAGGTGCGGCTCGCTGCTTCTGTCTTGGCCTGCAGGTCAGTGAGTCACACCTCCAGGCCTTGGGTGCAGACACCAGGTGGGAAGAACCTGATGAAGTTTGGGGCCTCGGTCCAAGCCGCCTTACTGTGTAGCCTGGGACACACGGTTACCCTCTCTGGGCTATCGTGGGATCAGCAGGATCAGGAAGGACCCCCAGGTGTAGGATCCCACAGTCAAGTTTTTAGGGTTCACAGACCCCTCAGGCCAGGCCCAGGCCAGCTAACTCTGCCCTCACCAGAAATAACCCCGAGGACCTCACGCCGACCCTAGACTGTCCACCTAGTCTCTCTGGGCCTCGTTTTCCAGGACTGCAGCATAAAGACATCAGTCTGCACTCCACATATGTATGTATGGACACACCACACACATGTGCACACCTGCGCGCACTCTCTCTGACGTCCCGCCCAGGAAAACAGCTTGAGCAAAGGCCAGGAGGCTGGCAGGTGGACTGAGTAGGGCGACCGGGGGGTTGGAGCAGAGGCTGTGAGTGAATTGCGATCCGCTCTCTCCCAGAGGAAAACGCTTCTTAGGGCCCTTCCTGGGCTGAGGACCAGGGAAGGGACAGCAGGGAAACAGGTGGCGTTGGGGAAGGTTAGGACCCTCCACAGTTCCTGGAGGCCCTCGGGAAAACCCTTGTCCTGACATCCTTTGCGCCCATTTCACCGTGGGTAAGCCTGAGGCCCACCCAAGGTCACTCATTGGGGTGCTCATTCCCAGGCTCCCAGCCCTCTGCATTGCCCCCCACCCTGAGTCACCCAGGCCCTCAGGCTGGTCTCCCTCTCTGTATAATGGAGTGAGGGGAGCGACCCCCACATCTGAGCTGGCCTGCGCCTGCTGGGGCCCTTCCATCTGGCCTCCCTTTCCCCCAAACCTTGGGCTCCCCAGGCAGGCTGTGCTGAGCTGTTAGCCCTGCAAGGCTGCCTCACGTGGCTGCCATTAGCGTGTTAACTAACGGGCTGAGCTGAATGGAGCCGCTGAGCTAGGGGAGGACGTGCGGAATGGGGACAGGGAGCGTGGGGATGGAGAGTGTGGGGTGCTGGCTTCCTCCTCGCACAGTGGGACCCGTGGTTCCTGCCACAGGGGGTCGCTGTGAGGACGCCTGGAGGGGCTGTGGGGGCCTGGCGCACTGACACTGAGACCCTGGGGACGGCCTCACGGCTGCCGGGGCCCTGCTGTGCCCTGAGCTCCAGCAGCAGCGCTCTGCGGACGCCTGGGCCACCTGCCAGTCGTCTCTGCCCAGACCTGCAGGCTTGGGTGGACGCACTGCTGGGCTCAGGCTGCAGGCGTGGGGTCCTCGCGGTCTGGGAAGCGGGGTGTCGGGAACAGGAGTGACGTCCCCACCTGCTCTGCTCCCCCCACAGAGATCCGAGAGGCCTTCAAAGTCTTTGACCGCGACGGCAACGGCTTCATCTCCAAGCAGGAGCTGGGCACGGCCATGCGCTCGCTGGGCTACATGCCCAATGAGGTGGAGCTGGAAGTCATCATCCAGCGGCTGGACATGGACGGTGAGCGCTGCCCGTCGTCCCCCCCCCCCGCCCCCCCCGCCCCCCCGCCGGCTGTCTCCTCACCCTTCACCGGGGGCTGGGGCTGGGGGACGAACCACGGGGGACTCGCTCCCCCCACTAGCAGCCACCCCCAAGCCCCTGGCCGCTTACAGCCAGAGTGTGAGCGCCGCAGCCACACCCAGGGGTCAGACACTCCACCCGTCTTGGTCTGTATCCTGAAAAAAATTTTAAGTACAGAAAAGTAGAAAGAAGTCCATTCTAAACAGCCCAGGTCTCGCCATTCAAAGTAAGAAATAATGTAGTTGTGTTGCCACCTGGCATTTTATTATGGAAAAACTCCTAAGGAGCAGTAATGCCCGGCCCCCCCTTGGTCCCCCTGAGCCCCCACTTCGCTCCACCCAGAGAGCAGGTGGCGGCCTGGGCAGGTTGTTCCCGTCCTGAGCTCCGTTTCCTGCCTGTGGTGGGGACGTCAGGCCCCGCACCCGCCCGGGACAGCAGCAGGGCCTGGGAAGCCATGAGGGCTCTGAATGGAGAGTCCCCACGTGCTCGGGGCCCACCGGCCGCACTCCACCTCCACCTCCCCCCCCACCTCCACCTTCACCTCCACCTCTACGGAGCCTCATCACGCTGGGCCTCACCGTCAGCCCAGAGCCTGGCACGTCAGGTGCCCCTGAAACTGGCAAGGCTTGGAGGAGGGACCTGCCTGAGGCTGGACAGGTGCAGGCTGACCCCGCTGATTAGGCCTGTGCCCACTCCAGGTGACGGCCAAGTGGACTTTGAGGAGTTTGTGACCCTCCTGGGACCCAAGCTCTCCACCATGGGGATCCCGGAGAGGTTCCATGGCACCGACTTCGACACCGTCTTCTGGAAGGTATGCCGTGACTGGGGGACCCGGGGCTGCGCACAGTGAGGGGCCAGTGAATGGTGGGGCCACTCGGTAAAGGGGGTGACTATGTCAGTCTTCTGTCCACTGGATGTTCTGTCTCCCAGAGGGTCCTGGGCTCCCTGGGGGAGGCTGGTAGAATGGAGCGAGTGGCTCCCAGCCTTCTGGAATCGGGAGGCCCCTGCTGGCTGTGTGGCTGCAGGCGCTGGGTGCGGACTGGTGGCCGCGGTGGCCTGAGCGCTGTCTCCTCCCCCAAGTGCGACATGCAGAAGCTGACCGTGGACGAGCTGAAGCGGCTGCTCTACGACACCTTCTGTGAGCACCTGTCCATGAAGGACATCGAGAACATCATCATGACGGAGGAGGAGAGCCACCTGGGCACGGCCGAGTGCCCCGTGGATGTGGAGAGTGAGTGACTGACACCGGGGACCACCCCCACCCCACCCCTGGCGGGGGCCAACTGCGAGAGCAGGGGAGGAACCGGGGTTTGCAGGGGGGCTGGGGCTCCTGGCCTGCCCCAGCCTGTGCCCCTGTGCACAGGGGACCAGCCCACGTGGAGCAATGCCGGCAGCTCCTGATGGCATCGCTCCGCTGTCCCTTTTGTCTTCTCTCTGGTGCTCCTGGCGGGTGGCCACAGCCTGCTCCAACCAGCAGATACGCCAGACGTGCGTGCGCAAGAGTCTGATCTGCGCCTTCGCCATCGCCTTCATCATCAGCGTCATGCTCATCGCGGCCAACCAGGTGCTGCGCAGCGGCATGAAGTAGGCGCCGCCTGGACGCCTCCGCTGGCCCCTCCACACCCACCACCGCCTGCAGTCCTTTCCCGCAGCCGCTCCCCGGGCCTCCACCGCCTCCTGTACTTCAGGGCCTGGATGTCCGGCAACCCCGCCCGCCCTTGCATGGGGCTGTGGCCCAGCTGTGGAGGGCCTGGGGGCGGCTCTGAGGACGGCCTCCAGCCCTGCCAGCACCCTGCCCCTGCCTCACCCACCCTGGCCTGTATGTAGCACTAACTCTTCCCCTGTCCAGGGGCTCCTGGGAAGTGAAGGAGGAATTGGCACAGGGGCCCAGGAGCTACTGTGGCCCCTCAGGCAGGAAGGGGCCCCGGTGCCTGGGGCCAACAGCTAGCCTGACCCTGGTCCCTGAGGTTTGGGTCAGGCAGGGGGTGGACAGCCTCTTCCTGGGGAGGGGGCATTGGCTAAGGGCCCTGGCCTTCTGCTGGGCCCCATTCTCTGACCCTCCTTATACTCAAACCCAGCCTGTCACACACCCACAGGGCCGAGAACCAGCCCATTTCACAGGTGAGAGCTCAGAGGGTCCCCAGATTGGGCCTCAGTTCCCACATCAACAGGATTTCCAGGGAGGGCAGAAGCTCCTGGAGGAGCGGGCAACTGAGGTGGCCCTGCAGTCCCCCCACTCTGGGTTCCCCCCCTTGAGAGGCCCCGTGCCTGAGGCTGCATTGCCCCTCCCACCCCACACAGAATGTGGAGCTGGAGTATAGTGAGGAGGAAGCAGAGGGGCCTAGAGCTGCCCTGAGCAGCCGCATTTCCCACCGGCCGGGGCTCCTCCAGGGCAGCCGCCTGGTGGGGCTCACCCAGGCCGCTCTTTCAAGCCCAGGGCCTGTGTTCCTGGGTCCCCCATTCTCTACACCGACCAGGCTGCAGACCCAGCTCATCCCTGCCCCAGCTGAGCCATGTCACACTCGGGTACCGGCTCAGCTCAGACAGATGTGGGGACCGGGAATGGCAGACCGAGCCCTTGAGCTCTCTCCCCAGATCTGGAGCCGCTTCTCAAATGGGTGATGGTCGCAGCCACACTGGCCCCCCTCTTCCGGCCCCCAGGGAGCAGGGCAGCCAGCGTGGTCACCCTGGAGAAGACCTCCTATCACTCCAATCTGACCAGAGGCCAGAGCAGGGAGCCGAGGGCACCGGGCAAGGGGGAAGCGTAGCCATATCGCCGTAGTGACACTTTGTTTATAAACATCCAGCAGGAAGTTTCCTCACCCGTCTCAGACATCCCATGAGGGAGGGAGGGTGGCGCTGACTGGCCAGGGCCAGGGCTGCACCGGGTGGGGGCGCTCCTGCGCCTCAGCCGGGCCAGGCCAGGCCAAGCTAATGGCTTCAGAGGCTCCGAGGGGCACAGCAGGAGGGGACCCCAGCGTCCCCAGCAGGAGCCCTTATTTTTACTGTGACTGCAGTGGGAGCTGACCCGGAGGGGCCAGGGTGGATGAGGGACTAGCCCCACTGGACGCGGGGCTGCAGGGGCCACCCCCCCGGTGGGGGTGCCCGCAGAGATGGCGGCAGCTCCTGGACGGGTGGCCAGCCGACTGGGTACTGGAAGACGATGGCTCTGCTGGGCTCAGCCCTAGAGAGAAGGAGAAGGCAGAGGATCAGTGGGGCACGGCCAGGCAGGCCCAGGCTGGGGCACTGCCCCGCTCACCTCCTGCCGCCCGGCTGTGCGGGAGGGTAGACCTTTCTGGAAAGCAGAGCCTCAGAAACATGCAGGCCCCTTGAGCCAGGAACCTCACCTCCAGGAATGAGCCCAGCGCAGAGCGGGGATATGGGCGGGGACTGATTATCTATATATGCACGTCCACAGCAGCGAATGCCACGCAGCCTGTGTAATGAAGGCGGACCTATATGCACTGATGAGGAAGGGATCCTGATGTAGGTGTGAGTAGTAGACAAAGCAGCTTATAAAATAATGTATATAGCATGATACTATTTTTGTTTAAAGATATACAACATATATAAATGCATAAAAAACCCGGAAAACAACCAAATGGTCGCAGTGGTTCTATCGGAGTGGTGCGATTACGGGTGTTTTGTGTTTTTTAACTTTTTCATACTTTTTAAGAAAAGTTTTACAGGCACGCAAGCCTTTGAAATCCCCCCCCAAAAAATATTGTATAACTTTAAAAAAAAGTCGTTTCTCAAGCTATTCCCTCTCCTACCCCTGGAGCCACGTCTGGGGAACCCGGGGCCTGTGTGAAGTGCCGCCCTGGTGCCCAGTTGGGGCCCCCTGTCCTGAGGACGGAGGTGCAGAGGCAGCTCCCCCACCAACTGTCCCACATTCCAGTCCCTCTGGGCGTGACCCCCACTCAGGCTGCCGCTCCAGGGAGCACTGGGGCTCCAGGGAGCACTGTGGCCGGCCGCCTGTGAGCCGTCTGGAGAGGACTCAGGCCTCGGGTGGAGCTGGGGGACTTGGGGCAGGAGGCCCAGCAGTTTGCCTCATGTACCCACCCCAGCCCCTCTGGGGGCCTGACCAGCTGAACAGAGCCCATCTGAGGACTGTGGGCGTCCCAGGTGCGGCTCTGGGGCCTCTGGCTGCGAGAGGACAGAGGACGGGAAATCCCTGCTCGCGGCTTGCTGCTTGTGGGGAAGCGCAGAAAGCAGCTCCCAGCATGACTTACGGCTCTGGGGAGATTCATAAACTCCCCAGCGGCAGAGAAGGGTGGGGTCGGGGAGGCTCCACAGTTGCTGGCAGGGAGAGCCCCAGCTGCCAGCCAAGCCAGGGCTCCCGGCAGGGTTGGGGTGACCCCCATTCTCCACAGAGAGGATGTGATCGCGGGAGCCCCTCCCCATGAGCCTCAGCCCCTTCTTCTAGGAGGGACAGATGACTGGGCAGCTGGGACTCAGCCCCTGCACGCCCCGAGGCCTCCCACCAGGAGCCCCTGAAGTGTGCCCCCGGCCCCGCCCAGGGCAGACGGGGACCCTGAGCCGCACAGTGGCCTGTCTGTCCCGTGCACAAGGACAGGAGCAGCCCTCACGTCGCCCAGCCCTGGTCTCAATCCGAAGGAAAGAGTTCAGGAGGTGCGTGGGCTGCAGCAGCGGCGCCAGCCCGGAGCGGGGTGCACAGGGGGAGATTAGAGGGGATAAAGGCACAATCTGAAGAGCCAACAACAGGGCAGGGACCAGCACCGGCCTCGCGGGGGATTAGTCCGCTTGGCTGAGGCCAGCCCCTCCCTCCCCACCGCTGCTCTGGGCAGGTCCCTCAGGGTCAGGAACCAGGCACAACGCCCCAGGCTGCCCGTCCCCCGCCCCCCAGCCTCCATTCCCCCTTTTACAGGACAGGCTCCCCTGGAGGCTCTGCTCAGCGGGGAAAGGGCCCTTGAGTCTGGGTGGCCCCAGGGGAGGAAACAGACACCCAGAGAGGAAGAGGGGTCACCAGACCAGTGCCCACAAGTGGCCCACAGCACTAACACAGGAAACAGTCCAGGCCGGGGACCCTGCTCCCCGAATGCTCTCATTTGTCCACATGTCATCCAGCGCCAGGCCCAAGCTCAGGGCCATGAGGGGAGGCCTGGGGCTGGAAGAGGGGAGGTCTTAGCTGAGCCTGAGGATGCGTCCCTCCGACTCTGCAGGGTGGCGGGGTGGGAGCAGCTACAGGCCGAGGAAAACAGCAGGCGCAGGTGCCCCTAAGGCAGAAACACCCACCACAGCGAAGGCGCTGCCCAGCGTCCAGTGGTGCTGACATGGAGGCCAGATGGCAGAGGTGAGAAGGCGGCCCCCAGGGGCCGGGGAGGGGGCAGGGAAGTTCCACCTGAGGTGGAGGGAGCCCAGGAGGGTTTAAGCAAGGCCCGGCCAGTGTGTGGTTTAGAAGCTTCTGGGCTGTTGTGTGGACAAGCTGGAGGAGCAGAGGGGAGGCAGGAGGCCAGGAGGGGCCGGAGACGAGGAGCACTGGTGTTTGAAGGTCACAGAGAGACTGCTCCCAGGGCTGCCTCGAGGGGAGGAGACGTGGGGAACAGAGCAAGGCCGCCGACAAGGGAGGGGGCCGGCTCCAGCCCACCTCCCGCCTCCCTGGGGGGCAGAGCCCAACGCTCTGGGCCCAGGATTCAGGTGTCATTTTTCACAAGAGCAGCCTGCAGGCGAGGGCAGCAAGGGCACAGACAAGAACAAATGTTCCTCTCCCTCCTAACGGCCCTTGTTCCTCAAGGCTGGACAGACCTGTGCTGCCCAGAGAGTAATCCATTTTGGCTCCGAGCCCGCAGGAGGCAGGTGGACGGCAGGTGGACACAGAGAATAAGTGGTTGCCGGGAAAGCAGGTCCCCAGGAAGGGGCTGGGGGAGAGGTTCACATCCTCTAGAGTCTAGGGGTCCCCAGTTGCAGGTTCTATTCCAGAAACAGCAGGGAGGTGAGCAGCAGGGGAGGGAGCACGGCTCTGTGAGCACCACGCTGGGCACCCAGAGCTCTCTGGGGGGGCCTCCAACCGGCTGAAGAAGCCTGAGGTGCAGAACATAAATCCCTGGACCAGGAGGAAGGGATGGCCCCAACATTTGCGTCATTTCTGTGCTGTATCTTTTCAAGGTGGGAGGGACAAAAACTTGGCGCAGATGTATAACAAAGGTGAAAAACAATGAAAGTCAATTGTAAAATAGCCTAACGAACTCTCTAGATGGGAACACAGAGAAGGCAAGGAGCCTGACCTACCCCCTCTGGCCGTGCCGAGGGAAGGCCTCATCCCCTAGACTGCCCAGCCAGGCGTCCTAGGCCCATGAAGCCACTCCGCAGAGGTAACTGGGTCTGAGGCATGGAGGTCCAGGGCGGGGAGCCCTTGGGGAGCTCTGCCGGGGGAGCAGGAGTCCCTGTCCGGTGCCGAGGCCTGGGCACTTCATGGAGATTGCTCAGCTCCAGGCCAGGGCGGGCTGGCTGGGGTCTTGCCCCCGGAGGGCACGGGAGGAGGGCATGCAGGGGGCCTGTACCTGCTGCTTGGGGCCGAGCTCAGCCGCTTGGCTCTCTCCTCCAGCCAGTCCTCCAGATGGCCCTCGGGGAGGTCAGCGATGTCCAGAGGCCACTCCCTGGCCCGCCGCTCCTCTGTGGGAATGGGGAGACAGAGGCGAGTGAGGGGCAGGTTCACCCCCACCTGGACCCCAGCCTCCCACAACAGCCGGACCCTTCCTGAGAGAGCACAGGCAGGGAGCCAGGAGCAGCTGCGGGCCTGTCCCCACCGCGCCGCCCCCTCCCAGGCCCAGCCAGGGAAGGCCTCATCCCCTAGACTCCCAGCCAGGCGTCCTTGGCCCAGGCCAGGCCACTGTCCCATGAAGCCACTCCACAGAGATAATGGGCTCTGAGGCATGGTGGTCCAGGGCGGGGAGCCCTCGGGGAGGGCTCACTCTGCTTCCCCATCGAATGGAGATAGAGCATTGCCTGCCCCCCAAGCCTGCTGGAGCTGGACACAGGGTAACGCCTGCAGGGAGCCTGGGCCTCAGGAGGAGTCCAACCCCGGGTGTGGGTGGCCGTGGGGCGCAGCGCAGGGCAGAGCGGGTGGGTCTCGGCTCGGCAGGTGCCTGACTGCTCTTCTCATAAAATGTCCTATAAACGCCTTTGCTCAGAGTGAAGACCGAGCAACGGGTGGAGTTCAAACAAGCTGGGGGTGAGATGGGTCAGAGTCTTGGGGCGGTTTGGGATGAGCCTGGGGCCGGAGGAAAATGCCACCCTGTGGACCAGCGCTTCCTCTGGGCCAGGCCTGGCCAGCACTGCGCGTGCGTCGGCTCCCTCCATCTCGAAAGTGGCCAAGACACTGCCTCTGAGATTAAGCCGTGCGCCAAGGGCACCAGGGGTGTAGCAGAAGCAGTGGGGGCGCGCCTCTGCTCCCGGCCCCCCCCCTCTCATCGCTGTCTCCACTAGGTGTCAGTTTCTGACACCCACCCCATCGCCCCAGCAGCCCTCAGACTACCCCACACGGTGACCATAAGAGATGGGGAAGTGAGGGGGGACAGGTAGCTCCCCCAGCCTCAGCTCTCTCAGCTCTTACACTCTCCCCCCAGCAGTCCCCCCCCCCGAGCGGGCCGTTCCCATTCCGTCCCTGGGCCCAACCAAAACGCACCCTCCACCTGGATACTCAGCTCCTGCAGGTCTCGCTCAGACATGTGGGAAAATCTGCAGTTGGGGCCGAAGTCACACTGGCCTGCAAGGGGGAGACAGAATTACTCGCTGCTCTGGCAGGGAGGGCTCCGCTGGGGGCTGAGGTCCATTGGAGGTTTAGGGGCAACACTTTAGGGCCTCAAGAGCAGCAACCCCACCCCTGAAGAAAAACTCGACTCTCTGGCCCCGCCCACACAGCAGCCAGAGCAACCTGGCTGCTCCATCATTCCCGCTCTCGACCCTGCCCCGGCTGGGGGTCACACCCCACTGACAACTTCCACGTTTAGGATGCGCAGCCTCTGCAGGCTTGGCTCTTGTCACCATGCGGTGGCCCCGCCTCAGGACCTACATGTGGGTCCCCGAAAAGGTCATGCTTCCTCTCCACTCCAGGCCATGGCCCGCGCTGCGCCCTTCCCCCCCCACCCCCCCCGGGGGGCCTGTCCGCTCACTTGGCTTGGTGAGCAGCTCCCAGAAAGACCTGAATGGCTGTAATTTGCGCCATGAAAGGAGGTACACCGTCCAGGGTGGCTTTCTGAACCTCAACCGAGAAGACCAAAATGTGTCTCAAAATAACAGAAGACT